AACATACATTAGACATGAAGAAACACAAATTGAAAAAAATAATCAGAAATTGACATTGTATAGCCGTATAATTAACACGTTTGTATAGCTTGAAATTTGTATAATATATTTTGGTTAGATGTTTATAAAATATTTATAATTATATAAATTCGTTATTCGAGTTAATACAAAATAATTGAATTATACAAGTGTACAACAAATTATACAAATTAGACAGCTTAAACTATAACTATATAGTTCTACAACATAATTAAGTTCATTTTAGTGACTATTTATGAAAGTTTTTCGCTACTAAATATAATAACTTTTTAAGATACTAAAAACATAAAATATGAATTGCGAGTTCTCAAGGAAAGGTAAAAGAAGAAGAAAAAACTTTATTGTAAGGTGTTTGGATTGTGAAATTTTGATATCTAATTAGATAGTACCATGTATCCTTACTAGAAAGATAAGATGTCTCGAAAACAAGAGCGAGACGATTTGAGAATTAAAACGGGGATACACATGTTTAAATGCAGAGATATAAAATTAGATATAAATAACTACAAAAAAAAATAGACAAGGTAGAATTTATCAATGATATAACTTTAAATTTGAGATTGTAAATAACACTTTCTAGAGTTAGAGGATTAGTAATAGTTAATCATACTGTTACTCATTCTTCGATCTTCGATTTTTGTTATTATATGTTAGTTTAAAAATTAAACTAGCATTTTTCTTTAATAATTTCATTAATATGGTTTTGAACTTTGAATAAATTAGTTAAACACCCCTCAAGTTTATATAATTACAAGTTTAGATCCCCATTTCATCTTACAAAATCCATAAGAAGAAAAGTACGAGAGAAATACAGAGAAGGCGAAGAACACAATGGGGAAAGATCTGAGCAACGATCAAATCTCCTCCATGAAGGAGGCATTCACTCTCTTCGATACCGACGGCGACGGCAAAATATCACCGTCGGAGCTAGGTATCCTAATGCGTTCACTCGGAGGTAATCCGACTCAAGCTCAACTCAAATCAATAATCGCCGAGGAAAAACTCACATCGCCGTTCGATTTCAACCGGTTTATGGAACTCATGTCGAAACACTTGAAGCCGGAGCCATTTGATCGCCAATTACGCGATGCGTTCAAGGTACTTGATAAAGACGGTACCGGTTTCGTTGTTGTTTCGGATCTAAAGCATATTTTAACTAGTATTGGTGAGAAGCTTGAGCCTTCGGAATTTGATGAGTGGATCCGAGAAGTTGATGCTGGATCCGATGGTAAGATCCGGTATGAAGATTTCATTGCTAGGATGGTTGCCAAGTGATTTTTGCATGTGAGTTGCTTCTATCGAACTCTCCTGAAAATTTTCATATTTGGAATGGGTTATCAAATAGTTTATTTTAGCTTGTTATTCATATCATTTTCAGTAGTTCTATATATATACCAGTTCTTGTAAATTCAAAATTCAATGTACTCGTTACAATCAGTGGCCTAGGCAGAATTTTCAGCTAGCAACGTCTATATTTGTAGAAGAAAGTAAGAAGTTATCCTTGACCCATTGGTTTAGACTTTAGACCAGGCTTAAGCTGGAAGGATTATTGGGTTCAATACTACTTAGCCACAATCTTAAGTAATAGCATGTTATATTTTGTAAAAATATACTTCGGTTGAGGTTCGAACATCTGACCTCAAACATAAAAAACTGATGCTGAACCAATGCGCCAACTTCAAGACCTTTGTTGTTGTGCTGATTCCTACTTTGCAATTTTAGATTTGGAAAGCAAAGAGATATAGGAAATAAGTGGTATAGTTGGTTGGAGGATGCATGTAGTTGGTAGACTAGTCGAGAACCATGCTATCTAGCTCTAACACAACTGATATCCTAGAAAGAGAGAAAAACTGTGGCAACTACATGAGCTTGAGCTCAACTTGACATGATCAAGGTTATGCTGAACTATAAGTGCAAGTTTTATGATGTAAGTGGTTTGGTATAACTAGGTAGAATAGTGCGTCTTCACTCTTTTTTAACCCGGCCCCCTCTTTGTTTCTTGGTTTGAGCTATATACATCCCCCTAAAGGATTGAAGATTAGTTGCAGTTGTTGCATGCCCGGATATTCATTCGGTCGAATCAAGTGCCTTTTATTCAAATAGTGCATTTGTGTGAAGAAATTCATTTAAATATGTATGCATATTAAAATTAGAAATTAGTTATTACCAATTGAAGTCATCCTTATAAAATTTAGATCCCATAAATCTGGAATCCTGGATCTGCCTTTGGTCGCATGTTTCATATTTATATTTCTTGTTGAAAAATATTTTGTGTCAAGTCTTTTTGGGGAAAATCTTGGTGTTCCATCTTTTGATGGTTGATATGCTAAAAAGCTCATCTAAGATAAGTGCACAATGACAAGTGGGGTGGGCACAATATTGGATGGCTGTGTGGGTGCTGAATAGCTGCGGCAGAGTAATGTTGTGAGAAACAGCTAAAGAAGGGTGATCCTCACCATAAATGGGGATTTTCAGATAGCTTTTTGATGCATTCAGAATGAATGAGAATAGGGCTAAGCATTAACTTATCAAAAAAAATAAAATGATAAGCATTAATTTGGATCTTCTGTGGTTATGCATTTTAGTCGATTTGGAAAAGGGAGAGATTAGCTTCATCCTACGAGTTGCATCATTGTGTTTTTCCGTTCATGTGAGCTAGAATGATGTTCTTAATACCTTTTTTTGAGAAAGCATGTTCTTCTTAATACCTATGCAACTTCGTTGTTGTATGTGAATGTTACTGGAACAATAAGTTTAAATGGTACATTTAAGTGATGAATAATCGACTTACTAAGCAATCGCTAAAATTTTGAAAAATGCATTGGAAAAAACAAAGGTATAAGAAGCAACGATAGATTATGGGAAGTCAAATTAGAAGGATATAACCAATTTTCTGCCGCAGATCCCTTGAATTGTATCTTTGAAAAGAAAAATGATTACACTTCATAATTGACCATTTCAGTTAAACTCTAAGCACCATTGTTATTCTTTTATTTTTTGCTTACAGTTAAGGTGCTCACGTGATGGCTTTAGATACCTACATTATTAAAAAAATCAAATCAAAGATAATTTATAAACACTTGAGGGTGTGACCTAGTGGTCAATAAAGTGTGAAATCCTAGCAAAAGCAAAGAACGCTTGATGATATCTTTCCCATCCACCTAACCCTTGATAGACAGAGTTGCCCGTTGTACTATTGATAGATAACAAATAACAAATACCCTGGTCGTATGTATAGTCAAGGTACAAGAAAACAATTTGCTGATTTAAAGACGTAGGAGAGTATGAAGTTATAATAGATGACATGGATCATGCTTAATTTTGATCAGTAATATGATTGAGTTAAATGTTCTTAACTTTACCGACTTTGCTTAATTCTTACATGCAGGATTTTCATCTTCGGCTATATTACTCAATAGCAAGAAACAGGACCTGACTTTGCCCTCGCTAGTTTTGCCCTCTCATTTGTATGTTTTAAGTGTATCTTTCATTAGCCATTTTGCTATTTTATTGTGTTTTGTCATGGCACAACTCATTGTTCAAATGTATGGATTATATCCGGGTATGTCGTATGCAATCGCTTCTTGCAATGTTAAACCAGTTATGTATAGTTCAAATGCCATGTATCTTTAACTCAGCACTTCAATGTTTCTATTTCTTGTAGTGGAATATCTTTGTTCATTTATTAAATCAAAACTTCAGCTGTGATGATTTTGATAGTATTATTTCCGCTAGTGTATGCTAATGGGTTGTTTTCTGAACTAATTTGTTGTGCTTTTACTTGAGCTAATGGTCTATCGGGAAAACACTTTTTACTTCCTAAGGTATGAGCTAATGGTCTATAAGGAAAGAACTCTTTACCTCCTTAGGTATGAGCTAATGGTGTATCGGGGAAAAACTCTTTACCTCCTAAGATAGGGGGGAAAAACTCTTTACCTCCTAAGATAGGGGTAATGTATGGGTACACACAACCTTCTTTATGTTTTTATGCTAAAGGGTGACAGTTTGCGCGATGCTAAGCAAATAATACAATTATCTTATAACTACTAGAACAAATACAAAACTGTCGAAATTGTTCATAAGTTTAAACTCAAGTCCAGAGATTTGTCAAAATCGATTAAAATTTAAATAATTTTTTTTAAAAAACAAAATATTATAAATTGGGGCACTACCTGTTATGCCCAATGACATCAGAAATGAGTGATTTTAAACTTTTGACACCCCGTCTATTGAACAAAAAAGTTTCTTGTTAAAACTTTGTTAAATTAAATTATGAGGGGCTATGTAGTATCATTTCTCCCGAATAACTCTTACACTTTGTTTGGATCATTGTTATCGATTGTTTTATAATGTATTGTATTGTATTGTACTCTATTATATTGTATTGTATGATAGAAACAATGTTTGGTTGAATTGTATTGTTTGTTGTTGTTTAGTGACATTTTAATTGTTGGGTTTGATTGTATCATACTGTATTGTAATTTATAAATTTACTAAAATATCCTTAATTATTATAGGATAAGAGGATTGACTAGATTTAAATAATTAAGGTAAAAGGTAAAATAATATTTTGAAATATTATGTAAAAATATGATTGAAAAAAAAATTAAGTAACAATTGAAACACACCAAATCAGTTGTTCGATAGGGGTTTTAAACATTATAGGTATAGTAACGATACAATACAACACAATGAGTAACAATAATTTAAACATACTATTAGAGTAACATGGGATTCAATTATAATAGCCCACTCTGCTAGTAATATTGTCGGCTTAATTGAAACGGTGTTGATAGGAGGTTTACAATACATAAATATAAACTTATATATTACGAAAAAATTAATCAACCAGCACAAAATTACGAACAGAAGTGCAAATGTCCCGTTAGATGTCTAAAGCTGGACCTAAAATTTAACGGCCCAAATCTTTTTATAACAAAATTGAAGCCCAAAATACCTGCAACTTCGATAAACCCTAGAAGAAGAAAGAGCCTTTTAGGGTTTGTCAACTTCCATCAACCAAACGAAGCTACAATTTGAGCAACACAGTTCAGTGAGCTCACTCTAATCTTCGCCATGGGTCGTATGCACAGTCGCGGGTAAGTTTTCTCCATATTTCTACTAGTAAGCATACTTTTTTTCCCCAATTTTTTCACCATTTTTTTTTTGTGTGTGTTGGGTTTCAGTAAGGGTATCTCAGCGTCGGCTCTTCCTTACAAGAGAACTCCTCCAAGTTGGCTTAAGATCTCTGCTCCAGATGTAAATCATCTAATCTTTTTTTTTTCTGTTTCTCAATAGGTAATTTAGTCATATTTGAAATTAGTATGTAAAATTAAGCTGAAAATTGAATTTGTTTATAAGTCTTATGAGTTAATTTTTTTAAAAAAATGTATAACAAAACAAACTTTTGAAGGAAAAAGAACTGAATTTTTTTAATGTCCACGCAGTCACGTACACTTTGTTTGGATGGTTGTTACGTATCTTTTTCATCGTAATATATTGTATTGTATCGTGTTGTCTCGTGTCGTGTCATATTGTATTGATGAATGCAACTTTTAGGTTGTATCATTTTCAGTGGTTACATCTATTAGAAAAGTGGGGCAAGGGTTAGAGTTGTTAAGACTATTAGATGAAAGATCAATATATGTTTGAGTGTGTTTAGGTGACAACCATACTAACCAAGCTGGTAATGTTTACATCTTCATATAGGAACAGTGAACAAATAGATGTTAAGATCAATATATGATGATTCTGTTTTGATAATTAGGTGGAGGACAATATCTGCAAGTTTGCGAAAAAAGGACTGACACCTTCACAAATTGGTGTGATTCTTCGTGATTCTCATGGAATTGCTCAAGTCAAGAGTGTCACCGGGAGCAAGATTTTGCGTATCCTCAAAGCTCACGGTATTTTGTTATATTTTTCCAGATAATCAATGCTGCTAGGAAATTCAACTGTGGTTATATTTAAATAAAATTTGGTTAAATATATCAATTAGAAGGAAATGTGCCCCAATAGTATGGAATATATATTTATAATTTACTGTTTAGAATGGAATTAATGAGCAGTTGAGTGATTTATTATATGTATTTTTTTGACAATTCGATAGGACTTGCTCCTGAGATTCCGGAGGATCTATACCACCTTATTAAGAAGGCAGTTGCCATCAGGAAGCATTTGGAGAGGAACAGAAAGGACAAGGATTCCAAGTTCCGCTTGATTTTGGTGGAGAGTAGGATTCACCGCCTTGCTCGTTATTACAAGAAAACTAAGAAGCTACCACCTGTCTGGAAATAGTAAGTCTCTCTCTTTCACTCCTAACAATGTGACTTTGCATTTCCCCTTCTTTCGTGGTTTGGTTGCTTCCGGGATTCGTTATTTTCAGAATATTAATCTTTAACTTTTGTGGTTGTGTGATTCTTTGTGGCTTATGTTTGCTATATGATTAAGAGATTGAACGAAGCGTAAGAAAATGAATGGATAGAACATTAGTACTGTACCTTTTTAGAGATGATCTATCATAATGTTCCCTGTCTATTCCTTTCTTGTGTGGTTCAACGTGAATGGCTTCTAAATTATGATTCACCAGTTATGGTGCATATTTTTTTCCACATGGAAAGGATCTTTTTGAAGAATAAAGCTGAAACATTGCTTTCTTTGCTTTATTCTTATCTTACTACTCCAAATGAGATACCTTTTAGTCAGTTCTTATTCATCCTGGTTAGGCTTTTTGGCAGAGTTGAGCTAAAATGCTGGTTTACTATTGTAATGATTCTGGTACCAATTTGAAGGCCAAACATTAATTAACATGTTGCTATAGTTTAATGTTGATTTGTTCCACCTTAGAGTTCCACCCCGGAAAGAAACTAGTCATTAGGTTTGATTTGCATACTTGGGTCAAAACCTCTTTCTTATTACTAGTAAACTTTTGATATGACTTTTAGTTCATAAAATTTCACTATTTCATTTTACTTTGGCTGTAAGTTACCACAGCCAAGTTACCTATATTCCCTCAAGACCGCTTAACACCAACTCAAGACTGCACATAGCCTGTTTGTCCAGGTTCAAAATCTACTTTGAGAAGTGCTTTTTGTTAGAAGTGTTTTCGGACTTTTAGAGACTAGTTGTTTGTTTCTGGCTAATTAATTTGAAAAACCTTTTTGCATTATTAGCCTAGTGCAAAATTATATAATCTCCTATTCAAGAAAGCCTCAAGTACTTACATGGGTCCCTTGATGAAAAAGCGTGAGCTTTAATGAAAAAAGACGCAAAGGGAGACAAACTACAAATTTATACTTTAGTCCAAGACTAATAATTGTAAGCATGATTGCATGAATTATGAATATATCGATAAAGAATTTGAAAAACAAACAAACTATGATAATGTGAAAATATCAATTGTTTAGTGGCACCTCTTCAAAAGATGAAGACACCTTAAGAACCTTGATGATGATACCGAACTCTCGTTGAGTGAGATGAAATGTTCAACTCATTTCAAGCTCCCTTTAGGGCTTAAGCGCTTTAAGCATCATGCCTTTGACAACGTTGGTAGATACTAGGTCTAAACAATATTTTTATGTATATAAAACAGATGTTGAATCTCCTCATCTTCTTCGTGTGTTTACTTATATTTTGAATCCCTTCGGTGAATTGATCACGCTAGTGTATTCTAACATTACTATAATCAAACCCTTTTGCTGATTATGAATGTTTTTCATTATTTTACAGTGAGTCTACCACAGCAAGTACACTAGTAGCTTAAACTGAGACATGGATGGATTATTAGCTTTGAGAAGAAAGATTGATCAGCTGAAGTCTTTTCTTCTCTATGTATTCGAATAGTTCTCAGGTCCATTTTTTTGAATTCTGATACTTATAGATGCTTTAATTTGGGTATTGATGTCAATTTCTTTCGACTACTCGATGAATATCAAGCTCTACTCAGCCTTTTTCTTGTTCACCTCAACATTCCTCACTTGTTCAATTGTTGCTAAGCCCTGGGATGTGACGGTGGACTTATGGCCTGTTTGGATTGGCTTTTGGCTTAAAAGCACCTGAAATAAGTCTATCCAAACGGGCACTTTAAAAGCCACCTATTACCCACTTTGGATGATGCTTTGTATTATTACTATAGCGGTTGGTTGACGTAGAATTAATCGATGCTTATTCCCTAGATATTGTTGTCTGATTTATTGAGGATATTTTTACTGATTATACTAATTGTGAATCTTAAAATATCTCAAACGATATGAACTAGTAATTTTGAAAAGGAAAATTTTATAGTAGAAAAACTAGAACAGGTAAAAGAAACAATAAAGGGATATTACAGATGACACTTGTTCTTTTATTTATGATATTTATATCAAAAAATAATAATTCAATTTGATTGTAGTAATTTAAGTTTAATTAAATTATATGATTAAGTGATAAATATATTTTTGAACGATATATATATTACATTTGTTGATTTGATATAAAATATATTCCTACTCTGTATAGAGGAGTCATAACGTTCATATATATCGATCTTTTGGTACAATCTTAATTAATTAAAAAATTTAGAGGAGATTTAACAAATAAATGATCCATTTTTTTGAAAATAATTATTTCAGAAAAAAGTAATTGGGACAATCATAACAAACGTTTCAAAATTTATAACAATAAATAATTTTAAAGGAAAATCAACATACTTAACTCAGTATTAATGAACAATTATGAATGACCTGGAGTTGGTAATACAAATATTAACACACATAAAATAAAGAAAATAAAGCTGATAATTTGCCAAATATGATTAGTGCAAATTTGCAATTTAATTTCTTACCATAAATTCATAGTATTATATTTTTATTTTTATAGTATTTTTTCACTAATAGTAAGTAATAGGTAATCATTGATTGTTTTGTTAGTCATTTACGCTATTAATCTTCTTTGATGGTCGTGTAAATTTTTGTCCTTTACCTTTTGTTACTACTTGATAATTTTTATACCTCAATTGTTGTGTTATTTTTGTAGTTTTTTTTATTTTCGAATTTTTTCGAGTTTTTTTTTTTGGATTTTGATGAGTTGTAAGATAAAAAACTCCTTTTTTTTTATAAATAATCGGTTAAATAGTATAATGAGAAAGCATCTATTTACGTTCGTAGTTGCAATAAGTTTTCTTTTTTGTTACGATTTTTTTCTTCTGGTAATTACGTTATCGTCTTTGTAATTATTTTGGTTTTTTGTTTATTACAACTGATTCAAAATATATTTTTTTTGTAATCGCATTATTGGTTGTGTAATTATTTTGTTTTTTTTTTTAATTTTTGTTACTATATAATTATTGGTTTTTGTGTCTCAATCATCATATTATTTCATTGTAATTTTAAGTTATTATTTTTTATTTCGTTTGTTTTGTGTACTTCTATTTTTTAGAATTACTTTTGCAAATGTTTTTCGTTGAATCGAAAATTTATCAAAAACAAGACGTAGTTATTAATTTTCACCTAATACAACAATAATTATTCATTATTATTCGATAATGTGAGATTTAATGAGGATAAAATATCCGCATACCTAATTTCTACATCAAATTAAAAATACACACAATCAAAAAATAAATAAATAATCAAATTAAAGAAAAGAAGACGCAATAATAAAATAACAAAAAGTAGCAAACTAATACTATAATAAAATAATATTATAATTAAACTACACGAAATAACTTATATATCCTTTGCACAAAATCAAACTACGTAATAATAACAATAACTAACTATTCAATAAAATATCATAAACTGAGTAATTTAAAAAACGAAAAAAGGGAAAAGAAGTGAAAGGAAAAGACCAATAAAGATTATCGTAGAGTGATTAATACTCTTTTGTTTTTAATCAAAATCTTGAATTTGAGTTCTCTAAATACAAATTCGCTTTTGTTAGAAAGTGAAGGAAAAAAAATAATCAAAAGAAGTTTGCAACAAAAACCGATATGAGACTTCACTGTGGTTACCAAACAACGGTTGAAAAATAAAAAAAAATATATCAATAAAAAGCCAAATAGTAACGAATCTAAATTTAATTTAATTTAATTTTAATATGGATACGAATAAAAAATAAGAAAATAAAAAGATAATACTCCTTTGTCCCAATTTACATCAAACTCAAATAAACCTATAAAATTTTTTGATAAATTTATTTGAATGTCGAAATTTCGAAAAAGAAATATGTTTGGAGCCCAAAGAAAAGACGGCTTTCCATAGGAACAAGTGCTCCGTTTCGCCATTAAAGCATTTTTTTTCCTTCGCTTCTTCTTCAGACAACACAGAGAAAACTTAGTGTGGGTATTTTCTCGTTTCTCGTATTTGCTGGTAAAATTTTCACATTTTTTTTTCTTTGCTAAAAGCCCTTCTTTTTGTTGGATTCTGGAGTTTATTTCTTGGTATGGTTCACGATTGAGTGTGTATTTGTCTGGTGTTTTTTTCCACTAAATTGTATACATTTGATTTCTTGTTTACACCCTTGTGTTTGTTTTTGTTATATGTTTATATATATGTTAAAAAAATTTGATCTTTGTATATAATATTGTAATTTTAGGTCCCCTTAGCACAACCCTTTTCCCTGTTTGATGACAAGATTACCATGATAGTTAAATTTTATAGACAACAACTACAAACCCAATGTAATCTCACAGATGGGAAGTGTGGTGTTTACGTAGTCTTAGTGGTGTCTTGGGAAGGTGGAAGGACCGATATATATGTGGCTCAAGTAAAACACATCAAACTTAAGTATGGAAAGAAAATAAATATTTTTTTTTCATTTTCTTTTGGATATTCTATACATCTTGAGTTTGTCCTAGCCTAGGTGGATTGAGTTACCTTAATATTTGTCGTTGGTTGCAGGTGAAAAGTATCCCGTGGAATTATTCGAGCTGTACAAAACCGGGCCTGGATTCCATGGTAATTCTATACATCTTGAGTTCTTGAATTTTGGTTTGTTTTTATGGCCTCAGTATATGAACCTTGCATGAAAAGTTTTTTGAAGTATTATTTGACAAACTTACGTGTAGCTTAACTGTCAATGAAGTTGGTGAAAAACATGGGATACCACGATTTAGTGTTAGTCTATACGTGTGTTGGTGCCTGGGGGAAGTTAATAGGTACTTGAAGAAATAGTTGAGGCGTGCACATGTTGATCTGAACCCCTTTATAAAGAAGAATCTTTGATCTATTTAGGTATGGATATTTAGTAGACACACTGTGTCCGTATATATCTAGTGTGAGTGTGTTCAACTTTGAGAAAGTTTGTAGTGTATTTGGGAATATCCCTACAGAGTCCCAATACCCATGGCATACCATCTAATGCTGGTATGACAACACAATGACGAGTTTATTTAAGTGCACAATACATGGATTATGTATATAACTATATATGTACGTACATTCACGAGTTCTTGGATTCTAAATTTTTTCGTTCTCATGGATTTTGGATTCTTGGACATTAATTAAGTTCTTTCCATTTTTTATGATATGTTATTTTATGGACATTGACTATTCCTTTTGTTTTTTAGCAGCTGGAGTTTTCAGAAAAATACTTTCATTTCATGTAGATGGTGAAATTTATGAAGTTTTTTACTGCATCTCTATGTTTATGAAAGAGTGGAATTGGGGTGAAATAGCAGTGAATTTTTGTTGTGAGCTGTTCGTTTGTTGGAGCTGAATTCTATTTTAATGGGTCGACCAGGATTGAGGAATTATGACAATCATTATGAAGCAAGACGTGGAAACAGAAAGAGAGCAAAATATTCCGGTGAAGTAAAGTTAAGTGACAATCGCAGGCAAAAGATTTCAAGATTAGAGAATGTTGATGCGGATTATGTTGAGTTTGTGAAGCTACTCTACAACTATGATATAAATTCTCAGTCATACACAAATGAACATGGAAATGATGTCAGCTATGATGAGGTTGAGGATGAGGATGATACTGACCCGCAGTACAAGATATTTTTGGCTAATGCCAAGCGTGATGGGAGGTCATATATCCTTAACCTCAATAGAAAGGATGAGTTTCCTGTGTCCATTAAGTATGAAAAAGAGAGTGCGTGTAATAATGGGTGCACATGTTTCTGTTGTCAAAAACAGAAAGATATGGAGACTCAAAAGGATGCTATGGATGAGGCAATCTCACTCAATATATGTAGCAAAGATGAGCTAAAAAATCGGAGATTTCCAAGGACTGATCCCAGGTATGATAGCAATAGATCCATGGGAGGCATGGATGTGATATTTGAGCCTTCCGATCCTACTTCTCAGAGAAACAATGAGAATATGAGCCGGAAGCTTAGCACGGGGCAATGTGGTGCATCCAAGAGGCAGGGGAAGTGTGAGACTAAGATAAAGTCGTGTAAGGAGAAGATGGTGGAAAAAGGGAGTAAACTAGTACATGTCAGAGACAAAGAAAAAGCATCTGATGTAGGTGAAGATTATGCGTTACTTCTGGAGAATCTTCAATGTGAAAAATGGGGCATGAAAGCCTCGTTAAGCGGCTGCAATATCAAGTATGAAGCTTCTGATGATGACCTTGAAATCCTTTACGACAGTAATGATATGCTCAAGAAGGTTGAAGCTTTAACTTTACAGCTTTTTCTGCAAAAGATCACTAGAGTGTCTTCCGTCCTTTGTTTCTCCTCCCTATTTTACTCTTCCGTCCTTTGTTTCTCCTCCCTATTTTACCCTAAGCCCTTACCTGCTCTGTTTGTTAGTTTGAAGTCTGTGGAAATAGTTCTTCATGATGCTTGTATGTGAATGAGCTTCAATATATACTAAGGTCAAGGATGTATATCCACAGAAACGTGAGCCGTCTGAGTTCAGGAAGAAAGTCACAGATCTTCTGAAGAAGCCTTACAATCCAAAGGAGTACAAAGAACTATGGACATATGTCAATGATCAAAAACCAGTGGAAAGGAATATGGAATCGCGTAGAGGGGGAGTGAAGTCCTACAAGACAAAGAAAATGGGAAAATCATATCTGGAGTACTATACAGGTAAGTCCAACATCCTGTAAGTTGCATTTTCATTGATAATACGATTTCCAGTGGTTTCAAAGTTTTGGTACCACTGCACCTTTGCTTGGTTTCTGTTATGTATTTCTAATATATAACCTGTTGTTCTGGTGAATTAATGCCCTCTCAAACATTAGTAAATATTTGGGTAATGGTCCTCGCTTGTCATTGAACTCAAAATGCTTGGAGTAATTTCCTTCTTATATCTTAAAACACTTCAATTTTGCAGTCTCTGATATCATCTTTGAATGTCTTGTTAGTTTCTCTAAAGTATGCTGTCAAGGCAAAATAATAACGCCAAATGTTTTAAGATTTTATGTTGTACAAAGAATGACCATCCAAAAGATGTGGCATCTTAAATTAAAAGAATAGGCCAGTGTTGTCAAAGGAGTGCCTTAAGCCTTGAAGCGGGGCTCAAAACATGTGAGGGCTTTGCCTCACTTAATGGGCGCTTCAGTGTCATCGTAGGACACTAAATAACTGATATTTCACTCTAGGGTAAAAAAAATTCAAAATTTCTTTGTCTATATATTCGTTATTCATGCTTATAATTATTAGTCTTGGACTAAACATATATATATATATATATATATATATATATATATATATATTTGTAAGTTTTCTCCATTTGTGCCTTTTTTCATTTAAAGGTTATGTTTTATTTGCACTTAAAGCTCCAAAGGACCTTAGAGCTTTTTTGCGCCTTTTCACTTTTGATAACACCGGTTGGCTTTAAGTTTTATGGAACCCTGGTCATTTATACCATCCATTGGCCATAGCATAACTAGTAATTTAGGTTGACTGCTGACTAGTAGCTCCAAGCAAGATGTAAAATTATTTTTAGTATTTTTTCATACTTCTACAAAAAAATAAATTAATTTGCATATTCCTTCTTAAAAAAAAAATTATGAATTTGTCTATTTGTGTTACAACCTCCCAAGGATGAGGAGGTCAATTGCTAAGTGATGTTTAGGACGGTTAATTTTTGAATTAATTATGGAGAGAAAAAGAACTAGAGATAATCACGAACTACGAACAGTACTAAAAATCCTTTTCAAATTGTTAGTTTCTCGCAAAGTTTTGTACTTCTCCTACAGTGAGATCCTTGTTCCTAATTACATGTTCACAAAAGACATGAAATTTTTTCATCCTAATATTACATGTGAAGCCAATGTCCGTAGAGCTGGAGGACTTCTAGGTCATTAATATGCACCATCTCAGAGAAACTTAGTGATGGCAAACAAAAAAAGGGAAAAGCTTTCATAAAATATGTATATGGTTGAAATTTGTACTTATTATCCTTCTCCAACTATGGTATTATTCGCATGTTTTGAACCATCAATGTCATGTTGCTTGGCTTTAATATTGATATAATGCTCCACGTGGATTTTTTCGGGAAATCTATTCAAAATTTTATTTCTCTCAACCAAAATTTGTGTCCTGATTATATTTTATAACCATCTTACCACTCAAGAAAAATGGAACAATGTGATATTGTACTTTGGAGTTGTCCTGCAAATCAGGATATCACTTACAGACTATATGAGAAGTTGACTATTTGTAAATAGTGCACCACAGATTGAAACTCTAGCAGTACTAAAAAACAGCATTTGAAAATTATTTTCGTTTGTATGCCCACCAAGAACTCATCCACCTTTTTTTCTCTTGGGAATAGGAGCCTGAAAGCATAGAAATCACGAAGGAACCAGATTATATTTAAGTTGCATGGCACTGTTCCTTTATCCAAAATAATTTATGTTTCCGCAGGAAGAAGCTCAGTATTGAGAGCTAGTTGTTCTTTGTATTTTTGGGAAATTTGGGATTGTCTAATGCTAGAAATGTGAACTAGTTGTTTTTTGATATTTTGGGAAATTAGGGATTGTCGATCGCTAGAAACATTAATTGATTTAGGTGATTTTCTTGTTCTCTTCTTTTGTAAGTTTGATGTATTATATCTGCTATATATCAATGGCAATCTTCAACTTCACCTCTCTCTGAGTTGTCGGCAGTTTGGGCACTATGAAGTCATTCAGATTTGTGCTTAATTTTCACTTTAGTTGCACTTAAGCCGTTTACATAATAGTACATCTTTTCAATTTACTGCAGACCTTAAGGAAAGACTTGAAGTAGTTGGTAATAACGAGAGGAAGAAGTTGAAGATCATGCGTGGCTTTTCGTTTTGGTTACAGGTGAGTGGCTCATCTCAGCATTATTTATGGAGAATATATTGATGGTTTTCTTTCGGCTTGTGCTTTTGATTTGTGTATGTCCATCTGTTGCTAATCAATGAAAGAAATTTATTGGTCAAAAGATATTGTTGTATGGATCTATGTTTTAAATACAAGGTTTAAAGCTATATCAGAAACTAATTCCTAGTTTCAAATTTGATTTTCATCATAGCGTTTTCTTTGTAACTGTCCAGAAAAAACAATTTTGTTGAGTTGAGGGTCTATTGGGAACAACCTTTATTTGGAGCAATCAATGATTTAAATCCCATTCTACTTTCAACGATTGAGACATAGTTGTTGTTCTATTTGCATCCTAGTGGTTTATAGACGAGTTTTAGTAATGTACTTTCTCGTTTGGTGTTTTGCCAGAATCTCACTAACGCAGGAGCCTTCAAACCATGGAACGATACTGAGTTTCTTGCACTGGTAGCTGGATCTAGTTAAGAAGTGATGCACTTCCAGTCCAACTTTAACTGATTAATCACACTCAAAGACGATCACCGGAACATGTATATGATGAATATTGTGGTGAAGACTGAAATCATGGACTCCATTTTATAAAAAGTCAGTATATCATACAGGAAAGCAAATGTAGACGCAGATCATCTTGTGAATTTTCTGCATATCCGCGGAACTTTTTGTTTCTTATTTTCGTGATCTTCCAAGTTCTCCCTCCTGTCCTTATTTTTTGAAGGCCCTGGGAATTTTGTACATTCTCAAACAAGGATGTAAATGGAGTTGATTCAGTGTATGCAAAAGTGTGCATATTAGTCTTTTTTTGGACTAATTTTTCCTTTGTAAGGTGACAAGGAGAATATCATAGTTCTCCGGAATGGAGTCGCCTTTACTAGGAAAGGATGTTACTACCGCCACTTATAAAATTGCCCCTCGTTAATATTGCGATTCTGAAAATGATCTACAAGTATTGACCCTTCGGGATGGTCCAATAGTTTGGGCTTTGGACTTTCATGCTGGAGGTCTCAAGTTCGAAATTCCTTGTTCAGCGAAAGCAAGGGATTTGCCTTTTAGGTTGAGCTTGTCGCACCAGCTTGCCTAGGACAGGTTATCTCTCTTATGTGATTTTTCGAGTTATTGCTTTGGAACGGAGATTTTATCATGTGTGCGCCCAAAGACCGGTGACTGCGAATTTTTCATTAAAAAACCAAAAAGATATACAAGCATTTGGACAAAATAGAATTAGAATTTTTGGAATATTTACTTACAATTTATTGGAAGGGGAATTTTGGAGTTGTCTTCAATTTTTAATCATTAGGTATATAACCAATCACAATTGGATATATTCAATTTAAATTCTTTATAAAAAATTTTCAAATAAAAATGAAAAATATTTGAAATTTGTGGTCGCCTATTTAATATTTGCATTGTAATCTGATGAATCAAATTTTTTTTTTTTAATTTCTCAACCTTGTTTGTTGAACCAAATCTTATTGATTTATTTTTATATCACGAATAATATAAATCTTAATTTAGACGTCCTTTTGATCATTGCAATAACATTATAATTATCTTTTGCTTCTTTTAAGATTTTGTTTATGACAGTTACCTGATAACTGTCAGTGGCTAAACGTGAATTATGTGGAGCTGAATCAAATTCTCTTTTCGATGTTCTCATTCTTATCCGATTCATTGTGGTTCAAAAAAATTCTTACTTGCATCTAAAATGTCACGTACTATACAATTCTGCTTCTTAAAATTTCGTTTACAAAGTTACTTGACAACTGTCAGAACATCGTTGTTAAAGAGAAAGTAGGAGAGTGGCTCAACGTGATTTACGTGGAGCTGAATCAGATTCCTTTTTAGTGTTCCCATTGTTATTCGATCCATTGTGGTTCAAATAAATTCTTACTTGCATTCAAAATGTCACATAAAATACAATTCTGCTTTTTAAGATTCCATTTATGACAATTACATGATAACTATCGCTTATCGAAACATCGTTGTTAAAGAGAAAGCAGGCAAGAGATTGATGAGTATGATTTATATAGAGCTAAATCAAATTCTTTTTTCAGTATTCTCGCTGTTATTTGGTCCGTTATGGTTCGAATAAATTTTCACTTGCATCCAAAATGTCACGTACAATTATATCATCAAGGCTCGAACTCGAAAACTCTAGATTACAAAGTATTCCTTTCTTGACTTCTTTTCTTCTGTCGTGGTTTTCGGGTTCGCAATCCGACTAACTGTATCCATCGGGTCCCGCTGTTTCAAGGCGGATTCACCACGATTAGTTCCATGAAACCCTGGAGACGCGGCCAATTTGTAATGCCTCCAATAGGGCTCGAACTAGCAATCCTCAAGCCTTTACGAGCCGAGCTACCCGTCGGACTTATTCCTTTCTTGACTAGATGAGTAATTTTGACTAAAAAAAGGAAAAAAGAATAAGATGCTTGGCCACCCACTATGTACCCTTTAGGAATTTTTGGACCATTATAATAACACCTCTTTGCCTTCTCCATTTTCACACACACACTAAAAAAAAGCTCTGTGAATTAATCGATAATGGCGGATCAGCTCACTGACGATCAGATCTCGGAGTTCAAAGAAGCTTTTAGCCTATTCGACAAGGATGGAGATGGTCTCTTCTTTTTCCCTTTTATAACTTTTGTTTTTACCTCAGATCCAATTGTTGAGTTTTTCATTTTTTTGTCCTACAATTTGTTGAACAGTGTTTTGATCTATGATTTGATGTTGATGTGCTGCTAATTATTGTGTTCCGTGTTGGATAGTTTCAGTTTTTGTGGTTTAGATTTGATCTGATGAATTTATTTGTGAAACTGACGGATTCTGAGTCCCAGTGTGTTGAATTCTTTTGGTTAATGTTGCTTTCGATTGACAGTGGTGTGATCTATGATTTGATGTTGATGTGGTACTGTTTAGAGTTTTTGTTTATTAAGGGAATATTGTTGGATTTGGTGTTTAATTCTTTGTTATGCTGTTTTGATAGAAATGGATATGAAGATGAGTTTATGTTAAACTGGTAGCTTCTAGAATTTGGATTGGCAGTTGTTTTGATACATGATTTGATATTGATGTGCGGATTATGAGATTTGTGTTCATTATGGGGAAATTCTGGGATTCGGTGTTTGATTGTTGGACATGCTGTTTCTTTAGCTGAGTAGTTTCAATTTGGGTTTGGGTTTGGATGGATCCATTGTGAAGCTGGTGGCTTCTAGATCTTTTTTCGCTTGATAACGGTGGTATTGGGTTAACTTGTATGCACTTGACTAATTCATTAGGTACTTGCTACCTCCACCACAAGTACTGGTTAAGTGGGAAGAAATCGCCTATTGTCTTAACCTCCGCTGAGATTTGAACCAACTCACTGCATTGACAACTAGGCAACATCCTTGGGTGAAAAAAGAAATTGGTGGCTTCTAGATTTTGGGTCAATGTGTCGAATTCTTTGGCTGATATTTCTTGGTAGTTAGGAATTTGTTTGTTTGGAAAGTTTTGAAAACCGTGTTTTTGGGAGTTGCATTTTTCTTGATTATATCAAGTTATACAAGTCAATTGCCTTTTTTTTTGTGGATCATGATACCTTTGACTTTATTTCTTGATGGATTGTTTCCATTTGTTCAATGTGGTAATGTGTTGACTTCAAGAAAAGAGCGTCCAAGTCTATAGATGTGCTTGAGAAAAACCCAAGTTTGTAATTATATGCAACTATAAACATCCACAAGCTGGTAGTATGCTATTGGAAGATAGCAGTAATAAGTAAAATATAGTGGTAGCAAGAGTTAGTACTCGAATATGAGTAGCTGCTGCCTCTTGAAATAGTTGATGCTTTTAGATGAATGGAATTCAAGTGATTTTGCCAATTTTATTTCTGTTCTGTTTGGATATGAGTTTCCTTTTGCTTTTCTTCCTTATATATGGAGATCGCCACATAGGGTTCTTATTAATGTTGGTTAACTGTATTCCTCATTGTTGGGATCATTCATAGGATTCTTATTATTGTGATGAAACTTGTGTTTATCTTTCTCCTTTCTTACACTTTGAATGGAGGAGTGAGGATTCATATCACTGTTCCCAACTTGTTTGGGATTGAGGCTAACTTATTGTTGTTGTACACTTTGAGCAGAGAACTGCGGAAAAGGGAGAGAGGGGATGTGAAAAACTAGTTTTAAGTGTTTGTAACCTGTAAGCTCTTAAAACTTAACATGTTCAATAACTATGTGCAACTGTGCTGCAGGTTGCATCACAACTAAGGAGCTTGGAACCGTGATGCGGTCATTGGGGCAGAACCCAACTGAGGCTGAGCTTCAAGACATGATCAATGAAGTTGATGCTGATGGGAATGGGACCATTGACTTCCCTGAGTTCCTTAACCTGATGGCTCGCAAGATGAAGGACACTGATTCTGAGGAGGAGCTCAAGGAAGCTTTTAGAGTGTTTGACAAGGATCAGAATGGATTTATCTCTGCTGCTGAGCTTCGCCATGTCATGACTAACCTAGGTGAGAAGCTTACAGATGAAGAGGTTGATGAGATGATTCGTGAAGCTGATGTGGATGGTGATGGACAGATCAACTATGACGAGTTTGTCAAGGTCATGATGGCCAAGTGAGAATTGATCAACTCATCTTAATCTTTAAAACTGGAAGTACAACATAAAAGGAAAAAAAAAAAGGGAACGGCAGATAAGTTTGATGAGGTTTCTGTTTCCGGTTAGGATGTGTTCTTTGACATTATTAGCTTGTTTTGGTGCTTGCCTGTTCTCCTATTTGCATTGTTTTGTAGTGCTGTTCTTTGGTATATGATTTTCTGCTCTATTCCTATTTTAGTAGTTTGGTAGCACTTCAACATTTGGTATTCAAACCTTTCTACAATTAGGGACTTTGAATGTCCTTTTCTGAAACCTTTTTGATTGAGTAATTTCATGTTCTTGCATTTGTTTGCTTTCTTTAGTTCTTACTTGCTCTTTATGGTCCAAGAAATTTTGAGTTCTGATGGACTTGTGTCGTTGGTCACAAGTTCGACTCTTGTGTCAAGCAATCCAAGTCTAATGCATAAGTGAAGAATGATAGGTGGTTGAACCCATTGTTCCTCAGTCTCGAAAGCTAATGGTTTCATGAAGTGAAAGGTCGCGAAATGAAGTTCAAAATTGTCTACCAAAGGCGCTAGCGTGTACCCTGGGGTGTTCATCATCACTCATATCTCATCTCAGGACAATGGAACCTGTAACCCGCCTGCTTCTAGCTTTCGTTCTCTTTTGACGATATCATAAAACTTTTTACATGCCTTCTACTAATATAACTTCTATTTTCCCTTTTATCTTCTTTTCAGTGTCTTCCTCTATTTAAATGCCATTTTCGAGGTGTATAGAATCTAGTTCCGAGGAAGGGAATCGTTGGAGCAATGATTTAGTTATCTTCTTAGGGTATATAGGTTATTGGTTCTAGTCGTGAAATCAACCTTCAACGGCTGCATCAGGTAGGTTACATATATCACATTTCTTAGGTTGTGGCCTTTCTTTGAATCACGTTTGCGCGAAGTCCTTGATGTTTGTTTCAACCAGGTTGTTTGGAGGGGTTCTTCCTTGAGTGAGATTTTTTGTGCATCGAGCTATCATTTTCACTTGATTTTTTTGGATTGAGGCATAGTAAATTATTGCAAGGTATCTACTAAAGTGATAAAATCTTGACAACAAAAAAAAAGGTTTGATTTTATTCAGTTTAAGCTTAATCTCAACGCATAACTAATTTGATTCGACTTTTCACTACTTTTTTGGAATAAATAGATGCTATTCCCTTTTAGTTTGGG